TCCTATAAAATCCAGTATATATAAAAGAGTGCAAAAATTACTTTTGTGTTTATTTGTAACACAAAGTCAGATTCCAGCCTCTCAAATCATTATAAAATACTAGCTGGATATCCAAAAGTTGTGCAGAAGCCAGACAATTCTTTATTATGCAAGGCTGTCCTGGGCATTGAAAGATGTTCGACTGCCTAGTAAATGCTAAAAAAGTCTCCTGCAACCCATCACTGAAACAAACAACTCCCTAACGCACACAACACACACACACACACCATACAGAAGCGCTCACAATCTAAAAAGTCTTCTTGAGCAGTAACACTTGGGAGTGTGATCTGAGAGGTTCAGAAGGACGGCCTGAACTTTTCCCAATTCCCCAACCCCCATTCATTAGCCACCCCAGAAACACACTGCTCACAGTACTGTTGATCTAGGGTCTTGAAGGATTAGGGCTTCAAAAGTTACTATTAAAATGCAAATGTTCCTGGCTAGGCTAAGACCTCTAGTCCTTATCTGCTAACAGCCTAAAGGGATTCCTTTAAGAGAAAGCTGTTTCCATTTTTTTAACTGTGTGATTCTGTAAGGAAGCATAAAATACGCCTGGTCTACTCTACGTCTAGCTTAAGGGCTGACTCTGCAAGACTGAGGTTTTTAGGGCTAGAACCACATCTAGGAAATTATCTCAAAACACCCATCCCCTCATCCCCTCACCCCTCGCCCCCTCACCCTCACCCTGCCCTGCCGGCCTTTTCCTGAATAAAGCAGGTCTGCCCCACTGGGCATAGCTGCTCATGTGTGATCCAGGCTGTATCCTCTGAGGACATAATTTTATCTTACAGACCTACAAGGAGTTCCTGAGTAGTACAAACTGTTAAACACTTAACCTCTAACCCAAGGGTTGTTGGTCCGAGTCCACCCAGAGGCTTCTTGGAAGAAAGGCCTGGCAATCTACTTCTGAAAAATCAGGACTTGGACAACAACTACTTTTTTTTTTTGGTTTATTTTATTTATTTATTTTTTGGACCCACTAATGGCCTTTTCTTTTTCCCTAGAAGCTCACCTGGGCAATGGCGACTCATAGCAACCCTCTAAGACAGGGTAGAACTGCCTTGTAGGGTTTCCAAGGCTGTGATTTTTACAGAAGCAGACTGCCACATCTTTCTCCTGCGCAGTGCCTGAGGAGTTTGAACTGCCTTTCCGTTAGCAGCTGAGTGCTGTGCCACCAGGGTTTCTAGTCTAACCAAAGTCTCCTTATAAAATAATAATGAACATATACAGCATTTACTATCTGCTGTACGACAAGGATCCCTGGTGGTTCAGTGGTTAAAGAGATCAACTGCAAACCGAAAGGTCAGGAGTTCGGAACTACCAGTGGCTCCTCGGGAGAAAGATGTGGCAGTCTGCTTCCACAGAGATTTACAGCCTTGGAAACCCTATGAGGTCACTATGAGTTAGAAAAAAACCCACTTGGGTGCTATACTAACTCACTTAACCCTCACAGGCAGTACTAGCACTATCTCTATTTATACACAAAGAGGCTGAGGCCCAGAGATTAAATAATTTGCCTAGAGCCACATAGCTAATAAGCAGTCTGAGGCGATTATCATCAAACTCTGGAACTCGATATCCCATTCAGAGCCTGAACTCTTAGTTAATCCTACATTTATTCTCTTTGAAATTGACCTGGCTACTAATTGTTCTTTACTGTTTTCATTTTTTTAATGTAATATAATATTCTGGGATTTAAAAACACTTTTACACCAACATTCCAGAGAATCTTCTTCAGCAGGCTTATAACATGTCCTCCCCATTCTGAGGGAAAGATGAGCTCGTTTAAATTCTCTATCTGTTGGTTGGCATGAAGGCGAGTCCGAAGTCCTTTGGGCCTCTTGGCCGGAACATGGTGTTTATAAGGCAAAGATCACGGTCAATTTGCTTGAGTGAATCTTATGGTCTCTTAATCACAAAGCATCACGAAGATGCCTCATTTGGAAAGTGTGAGTGGCTGGTTACACTTCTGGAAGACAGGCAACTTTATATCCCAGATGCCCATACCTGTAAGTTATAGAACAATATAAATCATGCCCGGTCAGTGGTCTAGCACTCTATCCCAAGGTTTTCTCTGTGTTTTTATTTTAGGGACTATCCATGAATTGTAACACTAGTTAGAAAATCTTATCCCAGTATAGTGAGTTTTTATGCCCACTCAGAAAATGATCATGTAACTGAGTCAGGCCATTTGACCTCTTGGCTTCCACTGTTATTATTGCTGTTAATTGCTGTTGAGTAAATTCCAACTCATGGTGATCCATGTGTGCAGAGTAGCACTGCTCCATAGGGTTTTCAAGGCTGTGAATTTTTGGAAGAAGATCACCAGGCCTGACTTTGGAGGCACCTCTGGGTGTGTGCAAACCGCCAACCTTTAGGCTAGTAGTCAACTGCTTAACCGTTTCTACCATCAAGGGACTCCTACTGGCTTCCACTGACAACCTTTAACTGGCATGTCTGGTAGGATCTGCCTATAAATAGTCTGTAGGTTATGAGCTCTAGCTATATCAATCTGTAAGATCCTAATAGTATGGTCACCTTTGGATTTGCAAGATGGCATATTTTGTTATTAAAATCAGTGCTGGGAATATATTTTGCAGGTAGTCTCCATTCACATCCTATTTCTATGAAAAATTCCACCCTATTCTTCCTTCCATATCAGAAAGAAATTCATCTCTAAAAATAAGCCTTGGCTGATTTCCTGAAGTCTTATTTTCATTTTGGGGGGCCAAGGGGAAGGGAGAATCTCTTTCCACATCCAGGGTTTCTGCTTACATAAACCCAGTCTCTGTGTCACTTTCTGAGTGATATTTACTCTTGGAGTCTGGGAAGTTTCCATTGCTTTCTTTTGAATCCACCCCAGGTAGGTAATCATTTACATCAAGACAAGAAGTAAAAAATATTAAAGCCCCTAACTTTCTTGTGAAAATCTACCAGGCAGTCAGCCCCTACTGTTGAGTGCTCTTTCCTAACCAGACGCCTTCTTTTGAAGGCACCAGAAGAAAGAAGATAGAGCTAATGCTCTCCCGGTCATAATAAACTAGAGTTAAAGATGAGACTCTCTTAGACTTACCAGCTAACCTCTTTGTACATTAGTTTTCTCATTCTTCAACCACATACAGTTGGTGGGAGGAGTAAAGTAGACAAGCCACATAGCACGGTTAGCCTTGAGTCTGGTCCGCAGGAAGAGCTCAGTACACATCATTAAGCAAACGAGTGTTTTGCTTTCATAATTTCCTATCTAATCATATGTGGACTTCACCTGGTTGTGGAGAACCTAGGAAGCCAGCACATTGGACCTTCTTCCTGTTTCCCAATTCTGGAGAAGGCTACAAAAGCCCAGGGACTCTATGGGCAGAGCCTCGAGCTCCCCTGTGCCAGGAGTGTCCCAAGGCACAAAAGTCCCTGTCAATCACCTCTCACTCTGGATCTGGCCGCAGGGATGCCACAGAGTCCACACGCCCTGTAGTTCAGGCATGGCCATTGGGGTTTTATTTCTCCACTGCCACACAGTGAAATATAGTTTAAGGCTTCTGAGAACCAATGACAGGTCAAAATTTGGGAACAGGAATGCTGGATCTGAGTGTTGAATACATGTATACCCAGATTAAAAAATGTATAGTAATAAATGAGATTAAGACATATTCTATTGATGTCAGTGAGCATGTGCTCCTGGAGATGACAGACTGGGTACAAGAAATTAACAGTACACTCCACCCAGATAACTGATAAAAATTTGGAGAACTTTTTATTTTATTTTATTTTTTTAAATAAGATAAAGGAAATGTAGAAGTCAACAAAGAGATGTAATCAGTTATGTGAGGGCAGGGGGGAGCAATTACTTGATTTTAGTGTTTATCTCTAATTGAGCTATCCCCAGTTTGACCGGTCAAATAGTGGATCATCAGGGAATGTGATGAAAATTTGTGAATTTGTGGACTAATGGATGAACGGAAGGAGCCCTGGTAGTGCAGTGGTTAAGCACTCGGCTGCTAACCAAAAGGTTGACAGTTCAAAACCGCAAGCCTCTCTGGGGGAGAAAGATGTGGCAGTCTGCTTTTGTAAAGATTACAGCCTTGGAAACCATTTGGGGAAGTTCTGCTCTGTCCTATAGGGTTGCTATGAGTCAGAATCAACTTGAGGGCAATGGGTTTGGTTTAGTTGGGAACGAACAGAGAATTAGGTAAAAAGAGGGTTTCTAGCTCCAGAGAACCCCAAAAAAATTTTGGCATTTGCTGTCCATACTCCTGAACATGCATAACAGTACATTATAATGATCAAGAGTTTTACTCTGAGGTTAGATTTTATATGTTTGAACCCTCAATTATGTATTTACTAGATGGTTAAGCAAGGCAAGTTACTTAACCTCTCTAAGCTCCAGTTTTCCTATCTATTAGATGTAAATAAAGACAACGTCTACTTCATAGGATTATTGTGGAAATGAATGAAAACGCAGATGTAAACTATTTAGCACAGTGCCTGGCATATGCTAAAACAAACAAATAAAAACAAATTGTTGTCCAATTGATTCTAACTCATGGTGGCCCCATATGTTATGGAATAGAGCTGTTCTCTTTGGGGTTTTCATGGCTGTGATCTTTCGGAAGCCGATCACCAGGATTTTCTTCTGAGGCACCTCTGTGTGGGTCCAAACTGCCAATAGTTAGTAGCCATGTGCTTAACCATGCATATAACTAAGGGCTCAATAATTAATTGTTATTTTATTTGGCTATCCCCTTCACTCCACTTTTCTAAGTTGCAAAGTAAATAGCTGTACATTAATTGACAGTTTAAGAAAGCCCTGTGAATGTATACCTAGCACTGTGCCTGTCTTCAGATTCCAGGTGTGTATACAGAGGTGGAATGGGGAACGGAGTAAGGGAGTAAATATAAAATTGCCCAATTCAGTACCGCCCTGACTATCATCTCCCGGGAAGGAAGCAAACCAAGGCGCAACTGGTGAAATGAAGCAGATATGATACAGACCTTCTCCTTTTTTGGTTTCATGTCTAAGGCCATAGATCTCTCCAACCCAGTCAGCACCGGGAGATACAGAGGAGATGCCTGCTGCTGTGGGAAGCCGTGCGCTGCTGTGGATAGCATTGCTGCTCTTCGGTGAGTAGTTCTGTTACCCTTTCTGGAGGGAGAAAAGTAGATCTGGAGAGCAGCCAGGGTGGAGCTTTGGCCATCTAAGGGGTAACTTTTTCTAGGACATGCACAAACCATGGAGCATTTCCCAGGGATACTGGAGTGGAGATAGGCTGAAAGCAGAGGAAGCCGGGCTGAGAAACACCTAAGGGAGCATCCAAAATGGCAGCCTGGCTCCTTCCAATCACTTGGGCATCCCCAGAGAGCAAGATTCCTACCAAGGGAGGGAAGGGAGAGGAAGAGAGAAGTTCTTTGTCTCCTTGGGTCTGATTACTGAGAAAATGGCTGGCCCTTACGATTACATGGACCTCATCTCCACACCCAAATGCCAGCCCTCAGGTGTCCCAGAAGGCTAGGGAGAGACGTTAACTGATCCTCTCTGGACTTTTGCAGCTCCAGCTGGCTCGCTAGTGGGTAAGTGCTTGTTCTTGTTCCCTCCATATTTCAATGTGTCTGGGCATTGCTCTCCTCTCACTAATTTGCTTCCCCTCATCTCATCACCTCTGTTTTACAATGATTATGACTCTGTTCCCTGGCCAACCTGCCTCCCATCTCTGCTTTGCCTTGTCTTCCCTCATTCCCTCAATTTGAAATCTTCACACCTACCATTTCATTGTCTCAAGGTCACGCCTCCTCTTTTTATGACAACAACCATGTCTGTTGCACATCTAAATGTCTCAGCTGCCCTCCCAGGCACTTTCACATAATATCGTTCAATTCTCATTGACAATTCTAGGAGACAGGATTTATTATTGTTATTTTATAACTGAAAATGCTGAAACTCAGAAAGATTAAGTGATTTGCTGGAGGTGACACAGCTAACAAGGGACAGGATTCCAAAACAGGTCCCTTGGACCCAAGTCTAATTCTCTTCCAGCTACATCACTCTTTATTCATCACCATCTAGACACTTTCTTGGCCTTTATCCAAATTTTCACCACATCTCTTTGCTCCTAGAAGCCACTCAAGATTTACCCTCTTAGTGCTTCTCACTGCTCTCCAGCATTATATATATTTTGTACTCCATATGACCCTAGGCATAAAAATTTACATCTGGAAGATACCTTATATGTCATTTAGTCTAGCACATCCTTTCACCCATTATTCACTCTTTCATCCACTCAGTAAGCACTTAATGAACATTTACCATTGTGCTGGGCAATGGTTGAGCATGAAAGATATTGTCACTGCCTGAAAAGAGATTGCAGTCGTCATTTTACAGCTACTGTAATCAAAATCAAGAAAATTGGAGTGAATTGTCCTAAGTCACACAGTAAATTGATTTGCTCGTTTGTTTTTAAATATCCTGTGTTTGTGCCCTGCCTTTCATCTAGATTGAGAGCTCCTTGCAGCCACAACACTGTATTCCTCCTTCCTTTAATCCCTCTCCTGGGAATCAGGACAGGGTCTTATCATCAACACTACAAGGGTAGACTGACCATTGATTGTCTGACTATTGGTATGTCTGTTCTTTTGAGCCTGGATAGTTTTCAATGATTTTTTCCCCTGTATATCTCTTTCCACATTTTGATCTCTTTGAAGCCACCGGGAAGTCTACCATTTTTCTGAATCCCCCATGGAATAGAATATTTAAAGGAGAGAATGTGACACTTACATGTGATGGGGGCATGTCCCTTGAAGTCAACTCCACTAGGTGGCTCCACAATGGCACCGTTTTATCAGAGACAACTTCAAGTTTGAACATCGTGAATGCCGGCATGCAGGACAGTGGGGAATACATCTGTCAGAACCAAAGGCATAACCCGAGCAAACCTGTGTTCCTGGAAGTCTTCAGTGGTAAGTCTCAGGGCTATTGGAATCTGGGTTCTTCCATGGGAAAAATGGCCCATCTGACAATGGGAAGGAAACAGGTTATTCCAAGGTTTAGGAGCACCAGGGTGGGATTCAGGGTCTTTCATTAAAGATCTGTCCCTCTTTCTTTTTCCACCCTTACTCCTTCCAGCCTTTCTGCCCTCTTTCAATATTCTCATCATCTCCCATATTATTCCTCTACTCCATTTTCCCTCTGACTGTCTTTTCTGCACATACACAGATGTATATTATGTGGTCATATGGCATGTTGGATAGGTGGACATTACAAAGAGCTATTTTTGTGGAATAGAATTATAAGGTTTGATTTAATATAAAGATTTGCTCTGCATAATCCATGTGCCACAACCTGAATATAAGATTGTACTCTCCCTCATGAAAGATATCTGTGTACATTCCTCATCTCCTGTACTGTTACTAAACAACAAATCTTACGTTTATTTCATCTTTATCACTCTCCTACTTCCAGCAATTAGCACAGCCTGCTTGGGTATATGTGAATTAGTCAGTAAATATTGAATGAACAGACTAATGATTGCATTTGGATGACTAGGTCACTGTCTTACTTTATATTTTTCTCTTGAGTGAAAAAAATTTCAACATTCATATGCAAATTCAAATACAGACTAAATCAATGTAGAAGAGATTTTTCATTTTCTTGGAGTAGATTCTAGAGAAACCCTCAAGGATTTCTCCTAAATAAAGTATGCTTGCACAAACTTTCCATATTTCTATTCAAAATTCTCCTTTTGTGAATGCTTTTCAATTATTTCAATAATATTAGTCAACAGAACCGAATTCTTATTTTTAACTGACTCATTATTGACAAATATTTGTTGAGTACCTACCAACTTCTAGGCATTATATTAGGCACTGGGGATATAATGTAAAAAATAGACATGGCCTCTGCCCTCCTAGAACATAGAACCAAATGGAGAAGAAGACATTAAATACATAATTACATAATTAATTAATTGTCATACATGTTCTAAAGGAGCCCTGGTGGTGCCATGTTTAAGTGTTCAGTTGCTAACTGAAAGGTCAGCAGTTTGGACCCACCAACCACTCCATGGGAGAAAGGACCTGGCAATCTGCTCCTGTAAAGACCGAACTAAAAAACCTAACCTGTTGCCGTCGAGTTGATTCCGACTCATAGGACAGAGTAGAACTGCGCTATAGGGTTTCCAAGGTGGTAATGTTTACAGAAGCAAACTGTCACATCTTTCTCCCAAGGGGCGGCTGGTGGGTTCAAACCGCCGACCTTTAGCTTAGCAGCCAAGTGTGTAACCATGGCATCACCAAGTCTCCTTGAATGAGTTAGTAATGGAAGTGCTGGGGCGCAAACCCAGGGCTTCATGCATACTAAGCACATGCTGTACAGCTGAGCTACACTCTCTGTCTATTGAAATCCTGTGGGGCAGCTATGAGTCAGAAATGACTTGACGGCACACAACAACATCAACAATGTGTTCTGAGGAACTTTGGGGCAAACTATGATTAACAGTAGAACTAGGAAGTCCCCATGAGGTGAGAGAGAACAAAATAGACACTCTCCTACACTAAAACTCCCCAGGAAGATTAATTTCATTCTCAGTGGCTCTAATAAGCAATGATGAATCTGAAGGGAATCCCAGGTTTCAGACCTCCCATGGATGGGCTAAGGAGAAAGGGCAGAGGGTCTTTATGCCCACAGACTGACTTTTCGGGAGGGAGGACTTATCAATATAGAAGACAGACTTTAAAAGTTATTTTGTCTTTCCTTTTTTTAATTGATTTCACCAGCCAAGAAATGGATTAACAATAATCCTTGGTTTCTGATATACACTTTTGCATGATCCTCTTTTATTTTATTTAATTATAAGTTTATCTATTAATTTATTGCTAAATAAATAGTATGGTGAATGTTTTTCAGACTGGCTGCTTCTTCAGGTCTCTACTGAGGTGGTGACAGAGGGTCAGCCCTTCCTCATCAGGTGCCACAGTTGGAAGAACCTGAAGGCCTACAAAGTGATCTATTACAAGGATGGTGAAGCCCTTCAGTACTGGTATGAGAACCACAACATCTCCATTCCCAAGGCCACGCTCAAAGACAATGGCACCTATCACTGTGAGGGCTTTGTTCAGAAGTTGCACCGTATCTCTGATTCCCTCAACATTACTGTACAAGGTGAGTCGGTAAAGGGAAGGGAAGGAGTCTGTAGCAAGGGAAGGAATAGAGGGCATCTGAGCTTGAGTGATTGCAATGTGTGGAGTGGGGGTAGCTGTGATATCTTGGAAAAGAGACCTGGGGTATAGCATATCTCTTAATCTCTGTTTCAGATTCTTTACTTGTTAAATGGTAATAGTAATACCTACTCACATTATGGAATTTTTATAAAGATTAAATGAGGTGATATTTGTGATCTAGATTGAGAGCTCCTTGGAGCCACAAGACCGTATTCCTCCTTCCTTTAATCCCTCTCCTGGGAATCAGGACAGGGTCTTATCACCAACACTACAAGGGTAGACTGACCATTGATTGTCTGACTATTGGTATGTCTGTTCTTTGTAAACTGTTAAGGACTACCCAAGCATAACAGATTGCAATTGCTCTTTTGATCTCAAAGTCATCTGTTGCTCCTGAAGAGAACACTTATATTTACAAAATGAAAGCAAGTTTCAAAGTTTAAGGAACAAAGGTTGTGAAGAGCTTGAAGAGCCCATTCCAGCCCAGGAGGGCTGGGAAAGGAAATCAACAAGTCAGCAGGCTGTGCCCTTGTGTATTGGAGGATGAGGGAGATGGCTTGGTAAGGAGAGGGTAGGCAGCTGGGCTGTCTCCATGGCTTATGAGGAAAACTGCTATTTCTAAACTTTGTGTAACAAGAGAGGGAACCTTTGAAATATTTGCCTTGCAAGGTGGAAATAAGACTTATTGCTTGGCAGACGTTACTCGCACTAATACAAAACTAGAAGACCAGAAGTCAGAATTAAGGTCTAATATCAGTTCTCTGTTAACTAATTGGAGAACTTGGTGCTATTTAATTGTCTCTGGGCTTTCAGTATCCTCATCTGTAAAATAAAGGGTTTGGTCTAGACACCACTAGAATCATTTGGGGAACTTAAAAAATATATATTGATACCTGTGTCTCATCCCTGGAGATTCTGATTTAATTGATTTGGTGTGAGGCCTGTGCATCAGTATTTTCAAAAGGTCTTCCAGGTATTGGTAAATGTGCAGCCGGTGCTGAGAACCATTGGTCTAGCTGATTTCTAAGTGCTTTCTTGTTGTAGCATTCTGGTGCACTATAATTCTAGAATGATCATAAAAATCAATACTTTGTAAATAGAATAACAACCACAAAATAGTAGAGTTGGAAGGCAACTTAAAGATGATCTAATCTAAGACCTTCATTTCACCCAACAGGTGTGCAAGAAATGATGATTGATTGATTAAGAAACAAGGCACTGGTGATCCCCTGCCCTCTCTCTGCATTCTTCCCATCCCTAAAAATCATATGTGAATGCTAGACTTGTCAGCCACCAGAAAGGGAGCGTCTTTCATATAACCATCCTCTTTGGGTACACAGGCTAGAAGAACTGTTACACAGGGGTTGGGGAGAAATACTCAGGAGGCCAGGGAGCACATAGTGAGAGATGGAATCTCATGAGTGTTTTCTCTCTGCTTCTGGACACCATATCATGCTAGAAAAGGAAGATCATTCTGGGTCCTTTGCTTGGGGAGGATGAAGCCCTGAACATCATTCTTCAATTCCTAATATAAATTATGTTTCTTGTTGCAACAGAAGCTGAACAAATCAAGAACTACTGGCCACAATTTTTTATCCCGTTGCTGGTGGGGATCCTGTTTACTGTGGACACGGCATTGTTTTTCTTCACTCGGCAGCAGTTCAAATTGCTCTTGAAGATTAAGAGGACCAGAAGAGGCAGCAGACTTCTGGATCCACAACCTAAGACAGACCCCCAAAAGAAATGATGTTACTGCTCAAGAAACATTTGCATCAGCATTTCTTTCCAGCACCAGCAACTTCTTTCTAGTATCAACCATTGCTTCTCCTCCCCTGATACTGGAGGTTTCATTCCAAAACCTCTGCACACACCTCATTATCTGCTCTCTACTCAGGGCTGCTCTCCCCAGTCTATTCTTGTTCCTAATTGTTATTTGTAGTATGAAGGAAAGGTTTCATCCCAGTTCCAGTTACCGTTGTAATAGAGACAGGAGTGAGATATGTATAGAGATAATGAGAGGCAACCAGACAGGCAAACAATGTGTGTAAAGCCCAAATCTCACTCAATCTTGAATATTTTGACTGGAGAGCATTCTTCAGGTCCTCTTAGCTCCAGGTATAGAATCCTATTTCTATTCTTATCAACCCAAGAATTCTTCCTAATGACCCCTAATTGGATCAAAGAAGCAGCCAAACCCAAAGAAAAGAGACTATTTCCTCTCAATTTGTTCCCTTGCTCAGTATTTTCTGAAAGTGGTGCTTCCACACTTGTACCCCAATTCTATCTATGCTCCTTGGAAAATCCTAAAATCTAGAAATGAGGCATGTGAGGAAGGGGATATTGTCAAATATAGCTCACAACATACATAGAAATGTTTGTGATCAAGGCTTCACAGAACTGCTTCATTAAACCAACTGAAACTGGTTACGTGGCATGTAATAGTAAGTGCATAATAAACGTTAGTTGAATAAATGGAAGAATGAATAGATTCATGTATTAGCATCTGCAAAAGAAAACTACAATGTGAATAAAATAAATATGGAACCATGTAACATGATGTTTCTAAATACTCAAGGCTTGCTAGCTTCTTTTTTGCTTCTAGAGGCAACAGCCTTGAAGTTCTAGATTAGAAATATGCTTCTTTGACCAATGTAAGGATGATTTTCTAAGGGATTTTCTAGGTTATTAGTTATCACAGTTCACTGTCACCTCCCCTTCTATCCTCACTCTAAGCTTGAAAGGGCTATGGATAGATCAGTGATCTGGAAGTTCAAGCTGCTCACTGACTGTGTGATTGGGGCAAGTTACTTGTAAGTATCTGATATTCTATTTCTTCTTTATAAAAAGAGGGGTTAGAATTAGGTGATCTCTCTGATTCCAGACATTTTATCATTCCACTACTAACGAACCCAGTTCCATTATGATTATCTAGACACAAGAGCTCAGAATGCATTCCCTAAGAAGCTCTAGAGTGAATTTTTTCTTTATCCCCCCACATACTGATATCTCCCTTCACTTTTCTCTTTCATGTATCTGAATTCCAGGTTTGTCTCAGTTCTGTGACTACCATTTCTACCCATTTTCTTCTTTATATTCATGCATCTACTGTCCAGAGGGAATGTAGAACAGATTAGGCCTGTGGGTACCCAAAATATGGCATTTATAAATAATATATTTTTATTTTCAGATACAAGAATACCCTCTATCTATGCCAGAAAGGGAATATGTATGTTATATACATGATTGAAATTTAGATATTTCACCACGGCCTCACCTTGGGGCCTTCTTGTCACCTCCTATCTCTAGCCAAATTGTCTAGGCTAGCCCCTAGAGAAAAATTGTTCTTCCATAATTGCTGCTCCAAAGATGCCACCATAAATTGTAGTGAACTGTCAATAGATAGGGGTTGTTTTTTTGAAAATCAAGTCAGTAGTTTCCTACTGGTGGCCAGTGGAAGATAAATTCCCTTGGCTACCTCCAGAGTAGAGATTCAGACAGAAGGTCCACTTTGTCAGCATGGTGAGGGCATGACTATTTGCTTGTTCCCTCTTCTCATTAAACGGGAAATGGTGACAGCAGGAGCATCACCTTGAACCCAGACATGGAAGCCTTACGTTGAGGATGTAAAAGGCACATTGATAACCTCACCACAGATTAGCACTGTCTCTCTGCCTGAAATTGTCTGTCCACCTGTGGACAGTTACTTACTAAGTCTAAGTCCCCATCTGGTATGTCATCAAACTCTACAACAGCCTCATCATGAGCCGTTCAATCTACAAATATGCTAGGATCACTATCAAGTTCACTTGTATATATTACCTACAGAACCCATACTTTTTCCTTTCTTGAAAATTGAAATGGCATATGCTCACTTTCAGTCCTTCCTGTTTTCAAATGTCACTGAGAGTGGTCAGCCATCTCACTGTGAACTAGTGGTGCCAGGCAGCAATGGAACTGAAATTGCTTATAGAGAATTTTTTTTTAAATAAAAGAATGACTTCATGCTAATTCTGAGAAAATTTCAATTTTTTATTTTTTTACTAAGGTTCAAGAAGATAATATTGCACTTCTACCAGCTAAATATAGCTCAATCAATAGGATGAAACCATTTTTTTGTAAGTTAGAATGTAGATGTTTTCAACTCAACATGTAAAGAATTTGGAAGTCATCATTCCTGTCTTCACAAGAAGAAAAAGCTGAACAAACTGAAAATCAATAACTCTTCTTAGATCCGTCAGAGAACTGAGGTCATAGGGCAAACTGCCACTCTAGAAACTGAGGAGACAGGCAAATACAGAGAATCACAGCTGACTGGGAACAGAAACCACTGGTGGTGGAAATGCAAAATGGGACAACCACTTTGAAAGACAGTTTGACACTTGTTTACAAAGCTAACCGTAGAGTACCATAGAATCATGCTCCTAGACATTTACTCAAATGAGTTAAAAACTTATATCCACACAAAACACTCACATGAATGTTTATAACAACTTTATTCATAATTGTCAAAACTTAGAAGCAACCAAGTTGTTCTTCAATAGCTGAATGGGTAGACAAATTGTGGTACATCCATACAAGGGAATATTATTCACTGATAAGAAGAAAAGAGCTATTAAGCCATAAAGAGACATGGAGAAACTTTAAATACATACTACTAAGTGAAAGAAGCCAGTTTAAAAGGCTACATACTGTAAGACTCCAACTATGTGACATTCTGGAAAGGGTAAAACTATAGAGAGAGTAAAGCGATCAGTGGCTGCCAAGTGCTTAGGGGGAAATGGGCAGAGGTGAATAGGTGGAGCACAGGATATTTTTAGGGCAGTGAAACTATTCTGTATGATACTGTAATGGTGGATACATGATTTTATGTGTTCATCCTAATCCAATTGAACCGAACTGTACACCATAAAGAGTGAACCTACTGTAAACTGTTGTCTTTAGTAGTGAATAATAATGTATCAATATTGGTTCATCAATTGTCATAAATGTACCACACTAATGAGAAATGTTAATAATAGGGAAAACTGTGTGGAAGGAGAGGGGCTATATGAGACCTCTGTACTTTCTGGGGAATTTTTTTGTAAACCTAAAATGGCTTTAAAAATAAAGTTTATTTAAAAATTTAAAAAAATATATATGTATATATTTCATATATATGTATATGTGTCATTGGCCTTCTATCACTAGAATATATCAAGACTGAGAAATGGTGCCAATTGCTATCAGGGCTGGATTAAGGTATGTGAGGGTCCTAAACACTAATAATCTGTAGTGTCGCCTCCTCTGCTTACTCAGACATTCATACGGGATATGTGAGTTATATCTATTCATGAATATATGTGTATGTGTGTGTCTTAGCTATCCATGATGTAATTTCTTTTTAAATGCAACTATAATATTAGCGACTGAAAGCAAAAGTGGCATATGCCATTTTAGTAGAGTGAGACAGTGTAAAATTTTTAGTTGATGTGGGGTAATGAGATTCTTACTATATAACACATTTTTTACAAAAAGAATATTCCACATATTCTACAACAAAGAAAATAAGTCAGTGAACTTAGTTGTTTCAACAATCAATGTAAAATTCTGTTGACCTCCCACAACAAAAAATTGACCACGAATTTTACTTTAAATTGCTCATATTTCAGTTTTGATACATGTCATAATAAATGCTATAATTATAAATGAACAAATGAAAATATATCATAAAAGAAAATTTAATGATCAGAAAACAAATATTGAATTTATTGTAATGATAGGCTTGTTTAAGTTCCGTAGGTTTTGCACATCATCTTGGACTGACGTTCCCATTGGCTGTTTACCAGGACATACGCAAGAGCGTACCCTTGTAGTTGCATCATGGCAAAGAGTATTGCTGGTCCTCCTGGTTAGAGTTGTTGGATCAGCAGACTTGGCTGTATAAGACAGTTCTCTTAAACTGGATCAGAGACTTGTTACCTATTAATATCATCCATCCTTACCCAGTAACTGCTCGTGTTGGATCCAGTTGCATATTGAGTGAATGTACCAAGAGTTAGACTTGACAGCCCACACCCATCTCTTGTTTATTAGAAAGAAATAGTATACTCCCAAGATACCTGCTGAGATAAGAAGTTTCATTTACATGGGAGGATACTGTAAGAGACAGATAACAATGAAGGTGTTCAAGTGGTAGCAGCCTCATCGCTTAAACAACCTTGGTGTGGGTACCTTCTTGATCCTGCATGAACTTTATTTCCGACTGGCACATTCTCACACACCGGAGCTGGTATCAGTTTCATTTAGTACCATGCAGTTCTTTTCCACTGTGGCTCTCACTTTTCCTTGTGTCCTCTCTGCTTGGTAACTACAGGTCTTTGCTTTGGACGATTGATGCCCCCGTTTTATTGATGCCCTAAGTGGGTGTTTACCTTGCTTAAAAGGTAATCCCTGATTGCTGTTGTGAAAATGGACTCTTAAAATGTCGCAGGTTGCAAGTTTCGATCTGACTCTGAGACAGAAATTGGGGAAGCGCTCTCAACATCAGCACCTAAGAAAGAATGAAGGAAGCAAGATTGGGCAGAAGGTGAAGCTGAACTGTGATGCAGTCACAAAGAAAATCTCCAACCATCCCGCAGATGAGAGTTCTGGAGCTGGAAGCCCCTTTAGAATTATTATGAATTGAGGCAAGGGGCTCAGTCTTTATGCCCTGAATTAGAAACATCGTTAGAGGGAGTCTACCCCTGGGTTATGACTTTAGAAGAAGTGTCTCTTTAGCAGAGGACAATTCTCAACTGAGACTGTTTTCTCAAGACCCCCCCCCCCCAATATCTGGCGGAATGAGTGCCTCAGTCACAAAGGGGCACGATCTCTGTGGTCCACTATAGCATCCAGTAAATATAACTTCAGATAGAAGAGAGTGTAGCATTGCTCATCAGACTTTTACCCAAGAGCTTTTATCTAGAATAAGAAGAACCACAAAGCAACATTAAAAAATAATGGCTCTATCATTTCTAGAAATCTGGACACAAAGCCAAAGATATCTTTACTTTTTGGTCAGACTTCACATACCAGTGTTTTTTGTAAAGTAGGTCATGTTAACTTGACATAGAGCATTTAATTTCCACTGATTTGTCCAACTCTCAACACCCAGCAGACTTCATGACACTCTTACAAGTGATATCTCGCCTCTGCAGGGTCACCTTGTGGGATTACATGGATTCTGGCTACCACGGGGGCTGTGTTTGAAACTTGGGGTATGTTTGTTGCCCAGTGTGGAAAAGGAGTGGAAAGATAAGAGTGAGAGGATTCTTCCTTGAACCAGAGCATACGCTTTCACCTTTTGTGATTCTCCTGCTATTTGGGGTTGAGCATGGAGAGCTCAGACATAAAAAGCTGTTTTTAACTGAAGTTTGGCGTTGGTAGTACACAAGAAGAAACTTGCAGATTAACTCTTGCAGGCCTAGGAAGATTAGTAGGAAATTC